CCGTAACCGAAATCTGAATAATTACGAAAACACAGCTTAGTTTTTTACTTGAGATTCATCAAAGCAAACTTTACCTTGTTAATTTAAACATGAATCATAACACCTTAAAACCAAAGAAAAATTCACCTGAACAAAATCATTAATATATTTTTTATTTAAAATATATATTAAGTTCATGATTATTTTATATTTATCTTTCAATTTTTCTTCCACTATTCTATTTAAGTTAAACGTGTTTTTTTGCCATAAATATCTTTTTAACTATCCAAATTAGTTTACCTAGTTTCTTTTTAACTTCTAATAAAAATGTTTATCTTTTAATTTTATAATATTTTATTTTTTAAGTTTTTCGAGATAAGCATGACATTGATGATATTAGTTTACCTAATATTTATTGAATGGATTCAATTTAATGACATGACTATTTTTATTACCCTTTCTTTCATTTCAAAATGAAAATTTAGGAATTTTTATTCTAGAAAAAAAAACTAACAATTAGTATTTACTATACATATATATTAATAAACTTTGAATATTGATTTTTCACATACAAACTGTTCCTTTATTTTACAATATACCCACAAGATAATTCTTATATATACAAAAGAAAACAATGATAATAATAATAATAATATAACTGTTAACAGTTAAAAAGAATGGTGTTAATGTAGAAAAATTAAAAATTAAGTTATCTCAAAATTCTATCATTGAAATAGTAGTAACTCTCAAGTATGGAATTCTTTGAAACAAGCATTTGAAGGTACGCATACATTATGTTTGATGATGTACTTTGTGATGATGTTGTCTTCAACTAAACTATTATTTTTATTTTTATTTTAAGTTGAAAGCAATAATTAAATCTAAAAACTTCTAATAATTTGCTATATAATAAACTTTAAACAATTCATAACATTTGTATCATAACAAAATCAGTTTTAGTAATTCACGGCTCGGCTCATAGATGATAAATCTGTCATTGCTCAAATAATAGAATAATAACGTTTCTTAAGAAATATGTATTTTTATTAAATTTATAATACAAATTTTAATTTTACTTATGCATATTGAGTTATAATTAGAGACACGAATAAACTTAGCTAAAGAAAAGAAAAAAATATATTATATTTCCACTACGTTAAATTCATTGCCGTGCAATTTTAAGGACTAATAATAAGAGTTTCAAACTATGAGAACTAAAAATCATAAAGTTTCGAGTAGGGACTAAAACTAAAATCGTGTGATACTTAAGGGACGAAAAATATATTTAACCCTTGTTTTTTTCTCTTCTTATAATAATTTTTATAATTATATATAATATTAACAATTACAATTTTATATTATTTTTACTACTAAGGGTATTTTGGTAATCTTCGATTTCTATCAATTAAACAATTTTTTTATCTTTCACATCGGTCAAATCTTACACTAATTTTCACAAACTTTACTTTCAAATCCACTTTCACTCACCTTCCAATCCACTAAAAAAATTTGGTTTAAACCCTCCTTTGGTTCTCATTTTTGTATGGAAATCTCAGTTCGGTCCTCATTTTTTCATCTGTCTGAATTAGGTCATATTTTTTTGTAAATTTTAAAACCAAGTTTTATTTATTTTTTATTTACTTTATAGAAGACTTTTTTTTAAGTTTCACCACCTATAGTGGGTTAGAACACAGTTATTTTTCAGAATTAAATTAGTTTATTTTTAATTATTTATTTTATTTATTTGATAATTTTTATTTAATATTTTAATTTTCAAGTTTTACATAATATTTTAATATTATCTTTTTTCTTTAAATATAAATACATAAATATTAATTTTTATAAAAAACTATTTAAAATAATTTTTTATTATAATCATTAGATATATAATTTTATTACTTTGAAAAGTTAAAAATATAATATATATGTTGAATTTATTTAAATTTAAAAATAAAATAATTTTAAAAAAAATATAATAAACATATTTTAGTTTAAAAAGAAATGTTTTCTCTCAAATTGTCATCTAAAAATATTAAATAAGTTATTATTTTTATATAATAATTTGATATAATATAAACAATTTTGTATATTAATATTTAATTAAAATACACATAATTTTATAAAAATTTTAAAATTAAAAAATTAAAGTTATAATAATTTAGTTCAAAATAATGACTAGTGAATATGATTAAATTGGCTTATTAATTAAATTAATATATTTTTTAATATATTATTAATTAAATTGGATTATTAATATATTATTAATTAAATTAATATATTATCTTAATATAAAAAATTGAAGAGAAAATATGGTGATGTGACTTTAAGGATATTCACTTTAGGGATTTCAACACATTCTCTCTTCACGTAAATTATGAACACACATCAACTCATTCTCTCTGTACCACGTGGTTTTAATTTAATGTTGTTTGAGACCATTTAACGGTTAGGGTAAAATGTGTTCATTTTTACAAAAAAATATAACCCAAATGAGGACCGAACTGAGATTTTCATACAAAAATGAAGACTAAGGAAGGGTTTAAACCAAAAATTAACAATCAATTCACCCTCAAATCCACTGCTCACTCTCTCCTAAATCAATCTTCTAAAGCGAACACAACTTTAAAGACAAGTTATAAATCCTTATGTGAAAATATTAATCCCTTAGATATTCAAACACAATATTTGCATTAAGAAATGGTGTGTAGAACGACCAAAAGCTTTGGTTTATGACTAAAATCAAACCTCTTAGTTGTTTTATCCATGTTTAAGTCCCAAAACATTTTTCAATGGTTATAGACACCACCCATAGACATTTCATCATGCACGTGAATAAGGATATAGCGCAAGAATAATGAAAGATATTTTATTGCATAAAAAGAACTGCAAAAAGTTTAGGTATATTACATCCAACCCCAATAAAATGGAGTTTAACTATACTCCTATATATTTAGAACATAAAAAGGGGTTGTAATAATGAAAATGATGGAGGAAGATGAAATCCATAAGTCTTATAATTGCCTCAAACCGTGTTTTGAGCTTTTAGTTTGTTCTTACGTTCAAAACTACTTTTTTCTCCAACTCTTAGACACTTTAAACTTCACTAAAATATGATTTCTTGTTGGGCCAAAATATCCTCTTGTTGAACCAGAGATAGTTATTCTGACATGTTGGCTTATTATACTCGTTAGGCTTATTGACTAGGCTAGTGCTGCTAAAGTCTTGTTGGACAAATGTTGATGTCTCGATAGGCGAGTGGTTTATGACAACATCTCTTTAATCTTCTTCAATCTTTGATTTTTCTACAAAATAAAGCAAAAACATAAAATTATATCTATCTATAAAACCTATATACAAGTCTTACATCTTTTCATGAAATTTAACACAAAATATATTATATAAAGATAAAATAAAAAATTCTAATAAGTGTGAATAATAAGTAATTATCGTACATAACACTTGTATGTAAAAGAAATAAAGCATAAAAGATTGTTGTTGTCTTTGTAGAGATGATTTATTGGTACAACAGATATAACAAATTGAGAAGTTCAAATCATAAATGAAAGCAACATTTGAAATGACATTATTTTTTTGTCTCGAATTTATTCATACTTCACATGAAATCTTGAGACACAAAAATAAACAAAAATCTTAAAGAAATTTTGCATGTTAAAATGCAACTCAACATTGTATCAGTCCTGGTGAACTTAAATTTGATTGAAAAGATTGAAGAATAAAATGTGTATGTAGTGTTGTATAAACAAATCACTATACCTCTTGAGTATTTGTGTAATAACAGACCATACAATTTATGTATTTAAGTCTTAATATTTTCAAGTATATATATAATGAAGATATTTTAAATATATTAAATAATGATATACAACTCAAAAATTAGTTTTAGACATAAATCAGGTACACGTTAATTTAAGTTTTGATACACAAGTTATCTTGAAATAAGTGATTTTGGTTATGAAATTTTAATGTTCATATTGTAAACTTTAGTTTACATATAAAAGTTTTACATAAAGAACAAAATTGTAAATTTAGTAAACTTTATCAATACATTTGAAGGTGATATAATTGTTTGGCTTGTGAGACAAATTATATTTAAAATACGGTATGAGAATTATGCATTGAAACAAAATTTAACGTTTTATAAAATTAACTTTCAATCACTCAATGTTGTTGACTAATTGTAAGAGGTTTAGTTTCACCTTATATTTCAATCCTTGTACACAATATACTTTTTTCGTAATTGAAATCATTTTATAAGTTTTGATGGTACGTTCTCATTTAAAAGAACTGTATATATTTTTACATATTCTTAACAAATGAGTTATTAGCTAATGTATATACATAATCCTAATTAATTAACACTTTATTTCATAAAACCAACTTCGAATATTTACAATCCTTTGACGAGTCTTCAAATAACGGAATATAATCCTTTGACTTAACACGTAGAATAAGTCATATTAGATTACTGAAACATATTTTACGTGTTAATAATCTCTATTTTATAAGTCATTTAACAATTCTATTATTATCATCCGAACATGATTAAATATCAACTTAAAATAATGTTTGAACTTCTCCTTAAGTTTTCTTATGTCAAAATAATATTCATAAAATATTTACGACGATGCAATAGAAATAAATGGAATTCTCGTAAACAATGAAAATAATAAAAAAAATATAAGAATAAATTTTAGTCAAGTTTTATTGTAAGAAATATACCTAATTAATTATATAAATGCTCTTCACATTTGAAATTACTTACTTGAAATGTACTTTTAACAATATAGTTATATTTCATGGACTTAAACCATTAACTTTCTTTAATGATAGATAATAAAAGAGTACAAATTAGAAAAATCAAAGTTTCTTTAAGAAAAATTATCCTGAATTTAATTTATTTTCTTATTATTTATATGTATATTTAGATTGGTGGCAAGTGTGTTAAATGGGAGAAAAGTAAGATTGTAGAAAAAAAAAAAGAAAAAAAAATGAAGGGGTAAAGAGAGACGGACAGAGAACAGTAGAGCGCGGGATGTTGGGGAGGGACCTCCGAGTCAGAGCGGAGGACCGAGTCGTGACCGATTCCGTCCTCTATCCTTTTGAGTCGTCTCGTGTTGTCATTTGTCAGCATTAATGGTCCCTCCCTTGCCAATCCATCCTCACCCTTCGATCTCATCTCTCCAATTTCATTCCCACCGTCCGATCTTCCCCTTTCTCTTTCTCTCTCTATTGCTCCCAATTTCAATTTCAGTTCGGAGATTTTGAACCTCTCTGAAGAACCCTAACCATCACACCCTGCTCCTGCAACCATCGCACACATCCTCTCTAAACTCATTGGATCGCATCCGCAACTCAATTTCGCCTCGCCTTCTCGCCCTCCCCAGGTCTTGGATTCTTCTTTCCTCTCTTTCTTAATTCTTTCTAACACGCTAATCTTATACCCTTCTTTTCCTTCCTAGCTCTTTTTTTTTCTTCGCTGTGTTCTGCTTCTGATTTCAATTTACGTTTTACAACACTTTATTTTTCTGGGAGCGGTTACAATTCGAGACGTTTTGTTTAATGGACAAACGCTAAATGGGTTTAATTGTAAGTCTTGGCACTCCGTGCTTGTATCTTTGTTCGGTGGTTTAGGCTCAGACTCGTTTTGTTTGCAGATTTGATTGGATCGGCTCACTGCATACTTGTGCTCGGGACCAAAATCGGGGTTTGGAGCAAAAACAGTCCGTGATATCTTGCTTTTTGTCGTTATTGCTTCTAAATCGTTAATGCAAGTGAAGTAATATCTTGTAATTTGATAGTGGAGGTTGGTTCGTTGTGGCAGGGGAAAAGAGGGTTAGAATTGGGCAGGAAATAAACTCGGATTACCCATTTCTTTGGTTTTCCCTTGTCATTGAACCGCGTCAATTGTTGATTTGAGTTTGTAAGGCAAGGTCAAGGTATGTGTGAAGTGTATGCTGTTTCTGCTTCGTAACTCAAGGTGTACGGATAATGGAAGGCAATGGAATCATTCATGATAGTAACCTAGGAGCGGGGAGAAGGGACAAGAGAGAGGTGGGAGAGAAATCGATGGAAGATTTAAGTAGATATGCACATAGTCCTGCTCACTTGGCTGTTGCCAGGCGCGACCATGCTGCCCTGAGGCGCATTGTTTCCTCCCTTCCCAGGCTGGCTAAGGCTGGAGAGGTCAACACAGAAGCTGAATCTCTTGCAGCTGAACTTCATTCGGATGAGGTTTCTTCTATTATTGATCGCCGTGATGTTCCTGGTAGGGAGACCCCTCTTCACCTTGCAGTGCGACTTCGGGATCCAGTGTCTGCTGAGATTCTGATGGCTGCTGGTGCGGATTGGAGTCTACAGAACGAGCATGGTTGGAGTGCTCTGCAAGAAGCAGTGTGCACTAGAGAGGAAGCTATTGCCATGATTATAGCACGTCATTATCAACCTTTGGCGTGGGCTAAATGGTGTCGTAGGCTTCCCCGCATTGTTGCTTCAGCATCCCGAATTCGTGATTTTTATATGGAGATAAGTTTTCATTTTGAGAGCTCTGTCATTCCTTTTATTGGGCGAATAGCTCCTTCTGACACTTATCGGATTTGGAAGCGTGGGTCTAATCTCCGTGCTGATATGACCCTTGCTGGTTTTGATGGCTTGCGAATCCAACGATCGGACCAGACATTTTTGTTCCTTGGAGAGGGCTATGTTGCAGAGGAGGGCAACTTAACTCTGCCACCTGGTTCTTTGATTGCTCTTTCTCATAAGGAGAAGGAAATCACAAATGCTTTGGAAGGGGCCGGTACGCAGCCAACAGAGTCTGAAGTTGCTCACGAAGTTTCCTTGATGTCTCAGACAAATATGTATAGACCAGGTATTGACGTTACTCAGGCTGAGCTTGTTCCCCATTTAAATTGGAGGCGGCAGGAGAAGACTGAGATGGTTGGGAGTTGGAAGGCAAAAGTTTATGACATGCTTCATGTGATGGTTAGTGTGAAGTCAAGGAGGGTTCCTGGTGCTATGACCGATGAAGAGCTTTTTGCTGTGGAGGATGGAGAAAGCATGATAAATGGGGAAAACAATGACGAATATGATGATGTACTGACTGCTGAGGAAAGAATGCAATTAGATTCTGCACTACATATGGGAAACTCTGATGGTACATACGAGGATGAGGAAAATGGAGCCTTTGATGGTCAAGAAAATGGTTCTGCAGCTTCCTTTGAGAATTCTGAAGCCAATGGCACAGTTAAAGAAAAGAAGAGCTGGTTTGGTTGGAACAAGAAAAGTTTGAAGAACAGCACTGATGACCCTGAGGATTCCAAAAGTGTGAAGAAAAACTCCAAGTTTGGCTCAGAAGGGAGCAATCAAAGATCTGTTGATCAGCAAAAGTTAGCATCTGACTCTCTGAAGGAGGATAGTGGAGACCTTAAGAAGGGAAAAGATAAAATCAATAAAAAGAAGAAGAAGAAAGGAACAAACACTGAGTCAAAGAATGAGAGTGAGTATAAAAAGGGTTTAAGGCCTGTGTTGTGGTTGACGCCAGATTTTCCTCTGAAAACTGATGAGCTTCTGCCTCTACTTGACATCTTAGCAAATAAGGTTAAGGCTATCAGAAGACTCAGAGAACTTTTGACAACTAAGCTTCCTCAGGGAACTTTTCCTGTCAAGGTAATCTAAATACCATAACCACTAGTTCTTTATATGTTATGCACGGTTGCTCTGCACTCTTGCAGGACAGCATGTTCATATCTCCTGTAGCTGGTTTTTGTTGTCATTGAGTCAGCTAAAATTGCATATCATGATGAAAATGCAAAATTATACTTAAGTACGTATTTATGCATCACGAATATCATATAAAATGGATAGTTACTAAACTCGAAAACTTAAATTGAAAGTTCATTATTCATATCCATTAGTTCACCTGCAAGTCGTAAAAAGCACTGGAAGAACCAAAACAGAGAGAGGCCAGATAACCAGTTGACAAAATCATAACTTTTGAAAGCAGAACCCAAGGCATGGACACAGAATGCCAAAGTCATATGTTTTTTTTTTGTTTTGCAAACTGGGTTGCGAAACTCAACCCACTAAACCTGACGCATTAGCAAAAATTGGCTAAAAATTTATGATCTCACAATCTTACGACCAAGATAAGTGATTTCGCAATGATCAAAGCCGCAGCCTCCAAAACGTGCCAGATTGTCCTACAATCTCATGATTTTCCCTTCATTGGCCTATATACACACATACGTACCTAAAGAACATTTGAAGTTTAACAACTTTGATGACATTATGACTGACATGGGTTTATCTTTTCTCCTGTTTCTTGTACTGGTATTTGCGCATGAGTAGATTTTAGGTGTCTTTTTGAGTGAATATCATCTGCACGGTACACCTGTACTGTAATTGTTATTTTAAACTATGCCAGCCTATTCTAAAATGATTCAAGGCAAAGCCGAGATTTGCTGCTATTGTCTGGACAAGGGAACGAGCAGGAGGGTTTTTTCTAGATTTATTGTTACTCCTATCACACTTAGACTTTTCTCATGGTTGAATAGTTATATTTTAGTTGACTGTGAGTTAGATGATCGGCCATTTAGCCGATCTACTTCAAAGAAATCAATCTTTGTTTGAGTGTTGGTGCAATTCATGCCTTGTTTCTACCAATCTGTTACTATCTGTCATTACAGTTTTCAGCATCCATACTTGTTCTTTATAAAAGCATCTGGTTTAATGATAATAACCTCTGGGACTCAGGTTGCTATTCCGATAGTTCCTACCATCCGGGTCCTTGTCACTTTTACGAAATTTGAGGAGCTTCAGCCTGTGGAGGAGTTTTCAACGCCACTATCAAGCCCAGCACATTTTCATGATGCCAAATCCAAGGAATCAGAGGGCTCTAGTTCGTGGATTTCATGGATGAAAGGAAGTCGTGGGGGGCAGTCGAGTGACTCTGATAGTCACAGATATAAAGATGAAGTTGATCCTTTCAACATACCAGCGGACTACAAATGGGTAGATGCGAATGAGAAGAAACGCAGAATGAAGGCAAAGAAAGCGAAAAGTAAGAAACATAAGAAGTTGCAGACAGCGGGAAAAGGTGGAGATGGAGTGCATCAGAGGACGGAGGACGTAGAAGAAGAGTAGTAAGTAGTATCGTGGTATGGTATCTCTGGGTTTAATTGCTTGAGGCTTTGATAATTGTTGCCAGAGAAAAGTGATCTTTCTTTTGTGCACACAGCCACAGCTGACATTATAGCTCTATGTTGGAGGGTTTCTCCAAGAATTTACTAGAAATTTCTTGGGCAACCAATTGTTATTAGTTAAGAAAAAGGTGCCTTTATTTTTTTTTTCTCCCTCGTTTTGCAAAGCAAGCTTTATCTTCTATAAATTGTTGTATTGCCATTGAAGAGCAAGGGTGCTTGGCTTCATTCTAGTTGTCCTTAGATACTACTACCTACTATTTGTATCTACTCCTATCTCCATCATTATCCATTTTTCATTTTCCTGAGTGCTAATCTCTATTTCTATCTACTTTAATATCATTTACCTTTTCCCTCTATCTATCATTCCATCTCATAAAACACTCAGAAAATTTATCATTAAGTGTAATTTCTCCACAAAATTAATAGAATAAATAAATTTAAAAAATATTACAATGATAAGTAAGTCATGCTAAGCACAACTTTAAATTAAAAAAGTGTACTTATAAAACACTTTGAAATCCTAAGTTGTACCTATATAACACTTTGAAATCCTATATGAGATACACGACTTTGGTACGATTTTTTTATTTATTAAGTGTAAATGAAAGTCGTGAAACAACTTATATTTTTTTTACGTGGTTTATGTTAGAAAAATAAGAAAATAAAAGAACTGGATGAGAAATTAAATTAAGCATTTTAAGATAAGAAAATTAAAAAAATAGAAATAAATAATTTTTTTATAAAGTAAAACAAATTCAATAAAATGAGGAAACAATTATTTCAAAATATGATTTTTTTATTATTTGTATAGACAATTTTCCTATTATTATTTTTCACTTTGACAATAATTCTTTTAACTCATTTTAAATTAATTCATCCATTTCGTTGTAAATACTAACAGTAGTTGGTATTATGATAATGAAATTCTGTATTCAAATATCTCATAAGTTAAGCTATAAACTGTATTCAAATATATTGGATTCTTCTCTAGAGAGAAACAAATCTTATATTTCAATTTGTACCCTTTCTTTCTCCTAATCTTGCAATTATTAAATACTAGAAAAAAAAAGTTTAGGTCGAATTCCTTTGATAATTATCCAATTCTTTATATTTTTAAATAATTAGAATTAGGATACTTTTTTAGTGTTAATATACGAATATCAAAAATAGATTTTTCTAGAATTAAGTTCTTCAAAATTGAAGAATCTTTCAATTCAAGATCATATAAAGTAAATTAAATATGTACCTAACTTTATCCTATACATCAAACAGAAACTTATCCTTACACAGCCTTTGATGGAAAAAACTTAAATTAGTCTTACGTGCATAATTTCTTTCACCTCTTATTTTTCATAAATTGAAGTAAATAAAAAGATTTTGAGAGTTGCCCGTTTAGTTTTTGGACACAAAATTGGCAAGTTAAATATTCATTTCTATCTCTTACATCTATCAAATTATTCCATTAATTTATACAAAATTATCATTTTGCCTCTAAATTTACATAACTATTATTTTTTTCTTTCATAACAAATAAGGTAATATTCATTTAACAGATAAAAGTATTATCGTCTCATTTTTTTCTTCTTCTAATGATCACAAACTTGAAAAATATAAAGTTGGAATTTCAACGAAAGAATTCAATTAATTTACTACATTAAAATAAAACGCTCCTTTTAAATAGTGTGTAGTATTAAATTACCCTTACAATTTATTTACTGTGATCCCTAATTTTTCTTCAAATGATAAAAAACTGAAATTTAAGTTTCAATTTCAACAACATTTCAGTTAATTTACAAGGTACACTGTGTTAATAAGACGCTCCTTTTAAAATTAAAAGATTAAACCCACTTTTTCTTTTATAATTATGTCCCTGTCAATGTCAGTTTTTATAAAATTTTATTTATCAATTCAGCTTTACAAAACTAAACAATTTTGATTCATTTTAATATCTCATCTAATTGCAAGTAATAATAATAATAGTGACAATTATTCATTTATGTAAAATATTAATAATTTTGCGAATTAACTTTAATACATGTATATTAACATTACTTTTATCACTACGCACATGTTTGAAAGAAAAAAAAAAACAAGAAAATACGGTGTTAAGTTTAAGTGACTCCATTGTTAATTCCAGAAAAAATATATTATTGTTTAATTTAAGAACTTTCTTTCTTTAGATAGAAACATTTAGCATATGAAACATATTATTCAAATAATCAATGTTAAAAAAAACTCCCTATAATCCTTAGTATAAGTCCCTTTTAACATAATCAATACAAGTAATTAATTTGGTTGAATTTTTAAAATAATATACTAAATTTACTCTTAATATTAATGACTTTTAATTTATTTTCATTATTTATCAATAAAAACACACATTTATAATATTTAATGTGTGTGTATATATGCATGCACGTTTTGTTGTATTTGAACAGGGTGTTAAAGGATATTGAATTCCATTTATTGAGTAGTTTTAATTGTTTTGAGTGATTCATTTATTGAAGAAATAGTCAACTAGTAGAGTGGAATTAGGAGCGAAAACTGATGTGGGAATGAATCTTAACGGTCAAATTTGAAAAAGTTGCGCTCCGAGATTCTGAAACCTTTTTCATGACCGTTTGTTTCTCTGTTTCTAAAAATCCCTTTTTTCAAAATCTCTTCTCAGTAGTTACTTCTCTCATCATAGCATGGCTTCCTAAGCAATCTCACTCTTCTTTAGCACCAAAGTCACTTTACGCAACACAGTTCATTAATCAATCATGAGGTGCTTTCTACCATGTTTTCGCACTTCTAAACGTCGTAACCAATTGCGTTCTAAGGATGCAACTCTCACACAAGTAAGCTCACTTTGCTCTTTCTCTCTCTCTGTCTCTTTTATCTTAATCTAAGTTTCTCAAAAGTTGTCACAGACCCATGTGGGGGAAGGAGCTGTTGAACCTCTTGCACGGCAGAAGACTGCTGTTGAAGAACTCATTGATTGCATAGCAGAATCAAAGTAAGCTATCCATTTTGTTATGATTTTTTTTTATCTAATTTGATTTGATTACATATGTAGCTATCTTTACGCTTTCAGAATAAGAAATGAAGAGCAATCAAATAATAACAGTGTTGAAACCAAGGAAGCACCTCAGATAGATGAGAAAAGGAATGACCGTGAAAGAGATGATGAGATCAGTGAAAGATTGCATCAGGAAGAGTCATCGGAGTCACTGTTCTCTCTGTCTGTTTGTTCAAGAAAAAAAGTTTCAGATGCCGAAGCAGTCGAGCCTGAAGTTAATAGTCCGATGCAATTATGCACAAGAGAGGTACCTGAAGCATTTGGGTCATCCCCAAATGCGCCACTTCAAAATATTTCGTCCGTTCTGAGTCCAGTTGAAGAATTTACCCATGAAAATCCATCCAAGGAGAAGGACGATAAGGAAGGAGAAAAAGGGAAAGTGACTCACCCTGTTCTACAGTATAGGTATAGAGATTGCCCAGATGACGAATACGACGACGTTAATTTAGATACAAGTGAATTTGATTCTACGCTAGAAAATGACGATCCTCAGAGTGAGAAGAGAAAAAGGGGGAAAGAAGGCGCTGTTGTTAAACGAACATGGGTTCAAGAAGAGTCTTCGGAATCTCTGTTTTCTCTGTCTGCTGATTCTAGAATACGAATTTCATCAGTAGAAGCAGAGAATGAAGTGGACAGTCTAGTGTCAGCGAACATCACACAAAAAGAAGCACAAGGGAGGATTCCAGATGTTTGCTCATTGCTGAATCCAATGGAGAGGGTAGTGAAAGCAAGAGAGGTGCATCCACTGAAGATCGATAAAGAAAACATAAACTTGGTAGTGCAAGATGGTAACATACCCGTTAGTTCAGAGCCTGCTTTGAAGCTGTCAAACCGCAAGGGTAGGCAATTCAGTGACAGCAAAAGAAGGGAAGAAATTGGGGTAGAGACCAGCCTCTCTAGCTGGTTGGTTGAATCGGAAAGCACGCCTATTTCCATTAATAGTAACAGTTGTGTGGGAGAACATACACCAAAAGGAAGAAGAGGTTCACCGTGGAGTCACGAGGATAGGCCAATTTTGGGAGCCTTAACAGTTGAAGAGATCAGGATGTATTCTTTATCTGCATCTTCAAGAAGGTCTAGAAGCCGGAGTCCCGACGAGACACCCATCATAGGTACTGTTGGAAGCTACTGGACTCACACAGAACAGAGCATGGATTTGCAGTTCAACAAAAAAGGAAAGGTAAGATGAAGTATGGATATATAATTCAAAACTGCTGTTATTCTAGCAATTTTGTTTTGTAGTAAAATTATAGTTATTTTACAATTTAAGATAACTTAAAATGTTTCTTCTGCTATACCCTTGTTTATATATATATATATATATATATATATTAAAGCGTCAAATTTTAAAACTACTACATTAAAATAGAAGTACTTTTTTAGTCTCTACAAATATAATAGTTAATGTTTTTTTAATTAGTTCAAAGAAAATACTAATTAGTTAGTGTACGTACAAGGCTGAGTAGATCTTAACTGCTTTTATTGCAGGATGTAACACCAAAGAGGAGTACAACGGCATTACAAACAAGACTAGAAGGTGCATTTGATGCTAGTGTATCAATGGGTTCAACGGCGTGATTTTTGTTTTAGCCCTGGAAGAATATTAATGAGAAAAGCGTAGACCATTTTTTTTTTCTGAAGTAGAAGCTTGTTTTGAGATCTTTGATCATTTGATGCCCAGATTTTTACATTGAAATTCTTACTTTCGCAGTTGCTGCTGTACGCAGATATTGTCTCAATTCTTACTTTCGCTATTCGGTATAAAATCACGGTCTAGAAAGATAAAAAACATTGTCTCAATTTCCATTTTTTTTTGTATTGGCTACAATTCATAGGCAACAGCTACTTAGAGATGACGATGTATATATACAAACTTAGTACATAGAGAAAGATGAAGAAAACAATGCCAAAAAATTATTGGGATATATATATATATACATACATTAGTACATGAATAGTTGCCCCATGTATTCAACAAAAGAAAAGATTCACAAAAAAAGATAACTGAGACCTAGACATCATGAAAGAGTCTCCTAATCTGGTCAACTGTTGCAGGCATTAAAGTAATTGGGCAGCGCTTATACTGTAATGTGGAAAACCAAAATCTAGCATTAGATAAAAAATAAGTGCGGCCGGTTAGTTAACATTGTTTACATAGGAAAAGACCGATAGTTTAAATTTAGCCATGAAATCAGATAGAACAGTCACCTGAGTAATATACTTAAATATGCAAGCATAGCAGAAGGCAAACCCAGAAACTGTAACTACAGATGGATTTACACGCTTCTGTGAGCACAAGGGACAAATTGTCCTGTCTGGTGGTAGTGGTATCCCATCTTTCTGTACCTGTTTTTATTATAAATATATTAGACTCAGTTCATAGTAGGCAACGAACCAGCACATTTTTTTTTTTACTTTTAAATTCTACTTACTGACAGTGTGACAGTACATCATAGAGGATGCAAGTCTAACTAGTGAAAAATAAACCTTTACAATGAAAGTTGAAAAGAGTTATAATCTGTTTGTCTAGAATAATTTATATCTTCACCTTTGGTGGAGGAGGAGGAGGGGGAGGAGGATATACTGTTGGAGCTGACATTCTCTCCTCAGCAGATTGGTACCACCATTCCATCATCTACATAAATTCACATAGGTGATGTATTAATAATTACACATACAAAGCTAAACCTATTTAAACTGAACCCAGCCAGCAATGGAACAAGAGGCTTGAGCCAATAGTGATCATCCTCGTTTGTAGCAATATTTATTATACCAAACCGGCGGACACAGATCAAATCTAGAATTGGAAACTAGGTCAATAAAATCTACCAAGCTATGATATTTTTTATACGTATTTCACCATATTGTTAGTACTCAATGAAAAAAGAAATATATACATGCATAAATATATGCATACACATATATACATAACTACATGTATATACATATAGACAGACACGCATACATATGTGGATAGCCATCTCACCTTAAAGAAAAACACTGCTGCAATCAAACCGGTTTGTGCATAATCAAGAACAGTGTACGTACAGCTGAGCAATGCTCCTTGCAATGTCTGAGATACGAATACATCATGTGATTAAAATGGAGCATAGACAGAACATTTATTCATAGTCAGCATTGTAATGCGTTACATACATAAAGAGCGTTTAGTCACTTTATCCTGTACAACCTAACATAAAAGGTTTCAGCACACAGCAAGTTTCTCACAATGCAGGCCCAATACTTGAAAGGTACAGGTACAACGCACCAGTTATACAAGTTCTACTTCTCAATTCGTTGAACACAATGACTTTGTGGACAACATTATACAGATTTTATTTTGTACGAACATCATTCATATTATGTATTTAATAATGTCAAACAAAATATAAGCAAAAGTAACACCGTATTATTATAATCCATGCTTTTTATTGTTGAGCTTAAAAATAGAACTGACTTAAAATTAGTCATTGTAAAATAATTTTACACCTTTAAATGTAACCAATAAATGGTAAGCAAAAGTTCCTTTTGGTGTAAGAGGAACTTGCTGTAATTGTTAGATGCTATCTCAGAAAAATTTGATTTTCACAACCAGACAGAGTTAAATTTATAAATCAATGTATAAGGTTTTATGAGTATATTTCTGGAAAATAAATGGTTTTCATGGGCTTGTGTAAACAACAATAAGTATTGTATAACCATTTAAGATAAATTGTCTCTGTATTTTTTTTTCTACAATTATTTTGCCATCATTCAACTCATGGGTTCTTTGCACTTGTTTCTTTGGTGATATATTTTTTAAATTCTAATTCTGGCCGAGTATATGCTACTATCGCCACTTTTTTAGCTACATTTTCTTTTGCTTCCTGTCTGATTTTTGTTTGACAAAATATCCTTTCCTTTCCCATTACTCTCATTGAAGTTGGATTGCTTACTTCAATTAGCCCAAAACAAAGAGAGAAAAAATTGAAAATATTATATGTCAGTCTAATATGGAAAGAGAGAAAGCCATGGACAACGTCAATAAAGTAAAAGAGTATAACTAGCTTCTTGAGTTTCTTCTTAATTCATGAAAACATAAGGTTATCATACAGATAATAAAATCATATACCTTCAACCATTGGGGGCCACGAAGTCTCTCACGTTCACGGTTACGCATCTTTGAAATTCTAGAAGACATATCCATCTATCTTGACACGAGAGAGAATAAAAAAATCAATCATATAAACATAAATGACAAATTTATTTTCTGGTGTTAACCAAGCAATTAGAGAATTCTTAAGCTGCTAAGCAACTCACAAATTCTTACATTGAATAATTTATTTGAGTTCCATATACTGAAGAATGCAAATAAAAGAATAGTATGTGTTTCGAGCACAATTACCATACAGTAGAATCATAGGTACATGATAGATTGATGGTGCAGAAACTCATCACATTTGAAAAAAGATTTGATATTCTGGGAAGGATCATGCACTAACCAATTTATACCAATAAATTTTTTTCTTCCATAATTCTACTCATAGCCACTTTAACATGCACCCACAAACAAACAAACAAACACAAAACCTATAACACAACAACACTTAACAAACACCATAAGATTAAAAATAATTTTATTTGTTGACATCTCAGGAATGCTGGAAAAGTTATTATTTGATTCAATTACATTTTGGGAACAAGGAGGCTGCTAATATATGCAACCTTGGGAATTTTGATGGTATCCTCGTGCAAAAGAAAAAACAACCGAAAAAAATAATTGAGTAAATAGTCAAATGATCAAATCAGTCTTCTCATTTCGGTTCTTCATATTAACTTAGTTTCTAGTATCCCTGAAACTGTAATTTTTCATTCCTTTTAGTCCCTTTGTGAAATGAGCTATAGTTCCACTACGGACTAAAATGGTATTACAAAGCTATAGAACTTAAGGATAATCATGATATTAAGTTGTACATGTGAGGGACTAAAGTGACAGTATTTTCAATTTCAAGGATTTATTTTGCATTTCCCAGTTTCATGAATTATTATGACCTCTCTTCACAATTTTCAGGGACTACAATTGTAGTTCACTAGAAAACAGTCAGTTATAAAATACTAAATATTTGCACCGATGAAAAATGCATGGCTGATCATGTTTTCTTTTTCAAATAACACGATAATTTGTCTAAATGTAATGATATCCTAATTCATAACTGTCTACCATCTCTTGCCCAGTAGCTCGACAGACATGAATCCCAAGTGCGTGCAGTGCTAGCGAGTAGTATCCAGTAGCATCCAACAAGTACAACATCTGGTAAGCAAATTGCAAACCTACATAGCAAATATCCTACATTAGACATTGAAAAATATTCAAATTCCAGAGAATACTTTGTCGTTACAGATAGAACGAATGCATATCCTTGAATACAAAATTTAACCGAGTTCTTAAAATCAAGTCGATTTGGGTTTATCCGTTGGAAAAAAAATCAGGATACAAATTCTTAACTCTCAACATCTTGCATTTAACATACCCTCAGTACTAGCGTGCAACCACGGGTAGCAAAACCCTACAATTTTCTGAACTCTCTTAGTGATACGCATTGTAACGGAGGCACCGGTGTCAGAGGTTGGCATTGACACCGGAGAATAATCTCCTCGGGCATCATCATATCCCCCATTTTCATCTCCCCATAGAGTGGCCTGAAGCCTCGCTTCCCTCTCTCTGTTGTAGATTGAATGCAACTTAGATTTCATATACGGCAACACAACCTGTTTAATCAATGATAATGGAGGAAATTAAGAAGCAACAATTAGGGTTACACGACAAAAGAAAACAAAGAAGCAGAACAACTACAGTACCAAAAAAACAACTGAAAGAATTTTCTGGCGTCTCCGCAAGCTGCCTCCACCGGCGGTGGCAGCAGCAGTATCGTCAATTTTGGCGGTGATATTGGCCGGTCTTCTTCGAAGACCGTACAGAGATTCCGAAAAAGAAGCATCTAGAATGAGGAAATAAGAGGAATGAGCAGAAATAATTGGTGTTATGTGTGATGGAGAGTGTGGTTTTGGGTGTACCTGTGGTTCGTAAGGTGTGAGATTCGAGTACGAGCATGAGTAAGGCGAAGGATTCGTCTTCGAAGTCCAGGAGCTTGTGAAGGAAAGGTCTGCGTAAGGCCAAGACGCCGATGGAGTAAGTGAGAGCGGCGCGGAGACTCGCCGGAAGCTGCTGAGCCGCCGCCATCTCGAAGAAGGTAGGGCGGCTGCCTTGCCCACCCACCTGGAACAACATTTCTCTCTTTCAATCCCGCCACACCAACCACCGCCATGCTCACCTCGTTTCCATTTATCTCTTCTACCACCTGCTCTGTTTTTTTTTTTTGTTTACTCTTTGTTAATTGTAAAAATATAATTATAATTATTTTTTTATTATAAAAAAATTGGAAATATAATTAATCATTTTTTATTTATTGATGGTAATAATAATAAGGTTAAATATACTTTTAGTTATACACTTTAATATAAAATTAAAATTTTGATATAATTTGATATTAAAATTAAAAATTGAATAAATTAAACTTTTTTAATTTAATTGTGTTAGATTTTTTCTTTTTATTAATAACATTTTAATTTGACTATAATAGTTTATCTTATTTTAACTCAAATA